CGGAAGTGTGTCAGAAGGCAACACCCACCGCTCAGGCTCCACTGGACTGTTTTGGATTGCTAGCTACTGGGGGGGGGACGGGACGTGTAGATCTGTCTTTGCAGAGGAAGAGCTTGTACCTGAATAAAACCTGGTCTTAAAGGTGCCACTGGACTGTTTTGGATTGCTAGCTATGAGGGGGCTCTGCAGCTTACCTGGCTGCTTCTTGCCCTGACTGAGGGCTGCTGGGAGCAGGGGGCGGGGCTTGTTGCATGTGCCCCGCCCCCTGGGCTCTTTACTGCCGGAGCTCCGCTCCTGTGCGCTCCTGCAGGAAATGACCCCTGGCTACCTTTATTTATTCGTTTAATAAGTAACCCTCACAATGGTGGCCAAGACTTTATGATACAGTGTCACTAGATCCCTCCCTCCCTGTACAGTAAGGTTCTAAACTTTTAAAACTTCCCTCATTTCCCCCACCCCGCCTTTGGATTCTTGTGCAAAACTGGAGGCTGTCCCATGTGTGTGTGGAAAAACCCCCCCCATATAAACACACCCTTATTCTGTGGATTTTTTTATCTGTATTCTAGTGCCACTGTTCAAAATTAAAAAAACACAAAGATGGCAGGAAAGGGCTTTTTTGCATACATAAATATCTGATATAATTGCTTAACTGATCTTGAAAGTAGGATCATTTGAGCAAACCCAGATACTCTTCCTTTATTTTAACGATGGAGCAGGAGATCCTGCTGTTCTTACACCTGTCTTTTTCCTCCCCAGTCCTTTCACTTGCCACCTCCACCATTTGTGGTAACAATTAGGCTTTTACTATTGTGAACACACTAGATAGAAAAGGAAAGCAGTTAGGAAAGCCAGGAAGTGACTGGGTGAAAGGTATAGCAGCTGCGTTTTTAATATTGATGCTAAACTCAGATGATCTCGGTTGCAGTTTACCAGTTCTATTGCCAGAAAGTAAAATTTGCAACTGTGACGTAGTTTGGGAACCTACCGGAGTCTCCAAACTTTTCCAGACATAAAATCGGGGATGGAAGCCGAGAAGCCAGTGCCAAGATGGAATGGCAGATTATTTTAATATTTTCATTTAGTAAAAAGTCATGCAGACAGCTAAATCCTTCTCAGAGGAGTCAAACAAGGGGAAAGGAATCAGTCACGATGAGAGAGGGGACTTCCATGGCAATACCCACTAGCTGTCCTTGCAGACATCGTTTTTAATAAATTGGCATGGGTACCATCCATGGAAGAATTCTTCAGAAGAGTGTATTAGATTGAAACATGCACAGAACTGTGATCATTTTCTTGGCTAAGGGAGGTGGGTTCTGACTTTTATCCATTCATCTATTGTTCCATGGATTCAAGGACTTTCCACCTCAGAGACAATGGTGCTTTCAGAACTTGGGTGAGTGTTAAGGAATATATATGTCTGTCTCACCAGTCATCCTTTCAAGGAATTAAACAGCACAGGGATTCCGATGTTGAAGCATCTTTAATATTGGGTGGCTTTTCAGTGTAACAATACATATCTAGGACTTCATTTATCCATGCGTATGGGTTTCAGTTTGCTTTAGATCACCACTAGTAAGCAGAGGGA